CCCCTTTTCAACGAAACCTGTATCTCAGTTCCTCAGAAGGAAGGCAGAGGCTGAGGTAGGCAGATGTGGATTTGAGATAGTTCTAATTCCTTCCCTCCCTGGAGGGCTGCTGTACGCTTTACCAGCTAAGTGATTTTTAAGACAAAGGTTTTCTGCGTTTTCCCTTTTTTTAAAAAACAACCCAACAACCAACAACCCCAAATGGCAAATGAATATCTCCTTGCACTCGCACAACAACAGCAACAGCAAGGAATTAGGGTTGCAAGCTCTCAGGATTTGACCTTCAGGGTGTTTGCTTGAAGAAAAGTCCATCTGGATCAGGCCAAAGGGACTAGATAGATGCACCAGGGCATATCTTATGTGATGGGGAAACCCAGCCAGATGGGTGGGGTATAAATAATAAACGATGATGATGATGTCCTTAATCCCCTGTTCTTACAGCAGTCAAGCACAACCGCAAAGCAGAACATGGGTGCAGCAACACTCTCTCCAACTTGTGATTCTCAGCAAGTGGTATTCAGTGGGCTAGAGCGTGGTGCTGATCATGTCAAGGTTGCAGGTTCGATCCCTGTATGGGACAGCTGCATATTGTAGGGGTTTGGGCTAGTCGATCCCTCAGGATCCCTTCCAACTCTAGGATTCTATGAGATAAAACTTCTATGAGAAGCACAAAGCCTCTGGCAGTGGAGTTAGGACCAAGACTTTGTGCCTAGCAATCGCTGATAGCCTTATCTTCCATGAATTGGTCTAATAAGAACACACAACAAGCCCATCCTGTTCTCGCAGTGGCCAACCAAGTGATTCCAAGCTCCAAGCACAATGGCTGCAAGCTCAGACACCATTTTAAACTAGACTTAAGCCCATCTTAGCAACTGAATTGCCATTTTAAGCCTGCCCAAACAAAGCTGCTGTATCTATCACTCTTCAACAAGTATTCTGAGTGAGTAAATATTGTTTTTGCCTGTACAAGACTCTGTGCGGTTATTCTTTTCAGGGAGAGGAAAAGGGGGGAATCCAGTTTGCCTTAAAAAAATCCTGGATTACTTAAACTAAAAGGCTAAAACTAGCCAATCTAAGCTTGCTTCTGAGCTGCATAGGGATGCACTCTGCTGATCCCCACCAAGCTGGGGAAGGATATTAAATAATCTCCTAGCAACTGTTCACATCCTATCATAGATTTGCTTTCAGAAGCACACAAGCTCAATTCCCAGCATTTTCATATAGGGCTGGGAATGTCTCCCTGTCGGAAATGACGGAGAGCTGCTGCCAATCAGTGTGGACAATACTGCAGTAGATGGACCAAGCGCTGACTCAGCCTGAGGAAGCTTCCTGTGGTCCTGTATCCCATGCAATATTAGCTGCTTAGGGCTGCTGCTTCACTCTGTTTAACAGTTGGGCCGGCCCCGTTTGTGTATCCAGGCATTTTGGAAATCAGCCGAGATCCTCCCACCGAGGTTTCCGCTGCCCACTTCTTACTAATTTTTATTAATGTTATAGTTTGACATTCTTTTAATTAGGTCTATTGTACATTCCTGCATTATCTTGCACTGTGCCTTGTGAACATGTGTCGAGAGGCCGCTTACAAATGCCATTAATGAATATTAATAAACTACGGGAAGGTAGAGGAGCCCTCGCCTTCCCCTGCATCTGGGTGCTGCCTCTCTTGCCCCCCAACTCTCACTAATCCGGGGGGCTGCCTGAGCTCCACCGCCCCGCCGCCAAGGAGCGGATGAGCCTGTCCCGACCTGATAGGGATCTGCTAATCATCGCAAGGAGGCATCAGCCCTGCTAGCTGGAGATATGTACTTAACATATTTAAATCTCCAGCTCTCGCCTTCTTTAGTATGGGGAGCGAGTCTTGCTAAACAAACACAAAGGCTCTGAGCTCTCGAATGGGGGAATGGGAGACGGGGATGGCGAGGCGGGGGAAAGAGAGAATTTGCAAGAGGAAGGATGGCAAGAAAAAGGCTGTTTCTTCTATTCATCGAACAGCAAGACGTGCCTGGCTACAGGATCAGGCCAAAAGGTTTGTCTAGTCCAAGCATGGCCAAACTTGCCCCCCCAGCTGTTTTGGGACTACAACTCCCATCATCCCTAGCTAACAGGACCAGTGGTCAGGGGTGATGGGAATTGTGGTCCCAAAACAACTGGAGGGCCAAGTTTGGCCATGCCTGGTCTAGTCCAATGTCCTGATCTCACAGTGGCCAACCAGAGGTCCCCAATGGGAAGCTCAAAGGCAGGACCCTGGGTGATATAGCACAGCAGGGAGAAAGTGGATAGAGACAAGTTGTTCTCCCTCTCTCATAATGCTAGAACTCCAAGCAAAACTGAATGTTGGGGGATTCAGGACAGAGAAAAGAAAGCCCTTCTTCACATAGGTGGGAGGTGATCTGTGAAACTCCCTGCCACAAGAGGCAGTAATTGTCACCAGTCTAAAGGTAAAGGGGCCCCTGACCATTAGGTCCAGTCATGGCCGACTCTGGGGTTGCGGCGCTCATCTTGCTTTATTGGCCGAGGGAGCCGCCGTACAGCTTCCAGGTCATGTGGCCAGCATGACTAAGCCACTTCTGGAGAACCAGAGCAGCGCATGGAATGCCGTTTACCTTCCCGCCAGAGCGGTACCTATTTATCTACTTGCACTTGACGTGCTTTCGAACTGCTAGGTTGGCAGGAGCAGGGACCGAGCAACAGGAGCTCACCCCGTCGCAGGGATTCGAACCGCCGACCTCCTGATCGGCAAACCCTAGGCCCTGTGGTTTAACCCACAGCACCACCCACGTCCCTTTGTCACCAGTCTAGATGGCTTTAAAAGAGGATTGGACAAATTCATGGAGGAGGAGAGGGCTATCAGTGGCTACCTTCATGGATAGAGGCATTATTCATCTGAATACCAGCTGCTGGCAATTGCAGGTGGGCAGAGGGTTGTTCCAGTCATGTCCAGTTTGCAGAGGCATCTGGTCAGCCACTGAGAGAAGCAAGATGTTGGACTGCATAGGCCACTGGCCTGATATGGCAGGCTTGTTTACAAAGCTATTGTACTACCAACCTTACTGTATGCTTGTGAAGCATGGACCACTTATAAACGCCATCTCCAACTCCTTGAAAGATTCTATCAATGGTGTCTCCAACACTTTTTACACATCACTTGGGGAGACAGGTGAACTAATGCCAGTGTACTAGAAGAAGCAAAGATCACCAGTGTTGAAGCAATGATTCTTCACCATCAACTTCGTTGGACTGTTGTGAGATGCCTTCCAAAGCAACTACTCTATTCCAAACTTAAAAATGGAAAGCGTAATGCTGATGGCCAACAAAAGAGGTTGAAAAACTTTCCCAAGGCAACTTATTTAAAAAATGTAGTATAAACACCGGCAATTGGGAAACACTGGCCTGCGAGCACCTCAATTGGAGAACAGCCTTTACCAAAGGTGTCGTGGGCTTTGAAGATGCTTGAACTCAGGACAAAACGGAGAAATGAACGAAGAGGAAGGCATGTTCGTGATCAACTCCCACCCAGAAACCTATATCCTCACTGTGGAAGGATGTGTGGATCCAGAATTGGCCTCCACAGCCACTTACAGACTCACTGTTAAGTTCGTGTTCATGGAAGACAATCTTACTCAGCTATGAGTGATCACCAAAGAAGAAGATGGCAGGCTTATCCTATGCTCTTGTATTCTTAATGATGATGGTGCTTAGATTTTCATTTTGACCAATGCTTTCCTTTGGCCAGTGGATCATCACATGGGGAAGTGATATTGAGCAATGCTCCTAAGATTATGAGAGGGAGAACCTCTCCTAAGATAGGTTGCTCTGGAACAGTGACTGGGCAAGTGTCCTATGTCAAGTCCTTCCCAAGCAACCTGAAATTATGTCAGCTTGTCTCAGGCCCTCCAAGTGCTCCTGTTTTCCAGGGACATCCCTGATTTAGAGAAGCCATCTCGGTTTCTGATTTGATCCCAAAATGTCCCACTTTTCTTTAAGGTAAAAGGTAAAGGTACCCCTCCCCGTACGGGCCAGTCTTGACAGATTCTAGGGTTGTGCGCCCATCTCACTCAAGACGCCGGGGGCCAGCGCTGTCCAGGAGACACTTCCAGGTCACGTGGCCAGCGTGACATCGCTGCTCTGGCAAGCCAGAGCTGCACACGGAAACGCCGTTTACCTTCCCGCTAGTAAGCGGTCCCTATTTATCTACTTGCACCCGGGGGTGCTTTCGAACTGCTAGGTTGGCAGGCACTGGGACCGAGCAACGGGAGCGCACCCCGCCGCGGGGATTCGAACCACCGACCTTTCGATCGGCAAGCCCTAGGTGCTGAGGCTTTTACCCACAGCGCCACCCGCGTCACTTTTCTTTAGGATGTCCCTATTTTCATTAGAGAAATCTCGGAGGATCATCTGGTAGGATGTCTCAATTTTCAGTGGAGAAATGTTGGAGGGTATGGAATTATCCGACCCCAAGCCATCAGAAGGCAACCCTGTATGGCGAAGGTTTTTTTAAAAAAATGTTTAGTGTTTTATTATGTTTTCATATATGTTGGAAGCCGCCCAGAGTAGCTGGGGCAACCCAGTCAGATGTGTGAGGTATAAACAGCAAAATTATCATTATGGAATGAGACGTCCCTATTTTCAACGGAGAAAGGTTGGAGGGTATATTGTCTGTCTCTGCTTCTCCCTCTTCATACCTTTTTGAGCTATGGGAAACCAGTGGGGAGGAGAGCTGGGTGCTGCAGGAGGGGGAGACAGCCTGGCTTCCTTACCAGTCTGACTCATCTCAGCCTCTTGGCCCCACTCCTCTCCAGCCTCTGCTTCTGCCTCTCGCTCTGGACTGCTCTCTACCCAGCCTCTTCCTGCTCTGTTTCTTCTTCTTCTTCTTCTTCTTCTTCTTCTTCTTCTTCTTCTTCTTCTTCTTCTTCTTCTTCTTCTTCTTCTTCTCCTCCTCCTCCTCCTCCTCCTCCTCCTCCTCCTCCTCCTCTTCCTCCTCCTCCTCCTCCTCCTCCTCCTCTCCAACTCTTGACCTTTTATTAGCTTTAGAAAGTGTAAAGGTTTGCAGTTAGATCTTGTTGAAAGCAGCTATGTCAACACTCTGGATGTAATCTTCAAACTTGGTGATCTCCTCTTCCAGTATATCTGTCCCAACTTTGTCAGAACTCTTCCACCACACACTGGATCTGGAGTTTATTGATGCCATAACCCACTGGGACCAGTTGGGAGGCTCCCCAAACCAGACCATCCATCTGAACAGATCTGACACATTCCTCCATCTTGGCCATGTCCGTCTCATCGTCCCATGGCTTGACATCCAAGAGGATGGAAGACTTGGCAATCAGGCCAGGTTTCTTGGACTTCTTCTCTGCTAGAGCCGCTCTTCCCGGACTCTGACAGCTTCCTCGTCTCCTCCTCCTCGTCACTGACACCTCCTTCTCTAGGTCTGCTCCCTCTTCTCCCTCTGACCACTCATCGTCATCCACCACCACTTCTGTGGCTTTGAGCCTCTTGCCCTTTGGGGTTCCCCAGTGGGTACCTTCCACCACTCCTCTGTCTCCAGCCAGCTCACTACAAACAGTCTTTTTTCCTGCAGAAGGGTGGGAGCAGCAGCAGAGAAGAGCTATTGCAGAGATGGGGAACCTCAGGCCTGCAGTCCAAATGTGGCCCTCCAGGCCTCTCCCCCTGGCCCCTGGAACTCTTCCCAGGGCACACCCCTCACTGGCCCTGCTTCACACCCTCCTTGAGTGCTTCTGCCCAGTGGCGTAGCGTGGGGGGTGCAGGGGGGGCCGGCTGCACCGGGCGCAACATCTGGGGGTTAGGGTTATGGGGCGCAAATCCACGGGTTAGGGGGCGCAAATTACTTGCCTTGCCCCGGGTGCTGACAACCCACGCTACGCCACTGCTTCTGCCTGTCCTTGAACTGTGACAACTGCTGCACCCTTCTGCACAAAAAGTAAAAAATGACATGCGTTGTTCTACCAGTTTTGCTGCTGGCCCCACCCACTACTGGGGTGTGGCCCTCGGGAGCCTGCCTGGCAGGGAATGCAGCCCCCGGGTCTGATATTGTTTCCCCAGCCTTGCTGAGGGAATCCCAGAGGCACCTGCAAGAAAGCAGGCTGCTGGACTAGACTCGCCCTTGATCTGATGCCGCAGAACTTGATTTATGTCCTTCGCATAAGTTTCTCTTCCATCACTCTTTCCGTACCATTCAGGATTTTATCAACACCTGTGCCTGCATTTGCTGCTGTGGTTTAGCCCAGCAGAAAGGTAATGTGCACCTGAGACCAGCCACAAGCTGCCTCTTAGGACGTCAGCCAATACCTTTCAAAGGGAATTTGATGATAAATGGGGTGTGGGGGGTCTTTCCCGCTTTTATCCTTCTCCCCCGGGGATGTTGCAGATTTCTATGGACGGCTTGACCCCTGGGTGACCTCTGAACCCTGTGCTTGGCAATTTTATGGGGCCAAAGTAAAGATGGCTCCCAAGACGTGCCTGGGGGTGCTGGCTGCATGTGTGTATGTGTGTGTGTGTGTGTGTGAGAGAGAGAGAGAGAGAGAGCTGAAAAATTAGACCGAATCAAAGCAGAAAATGAGTTTTCATTTATCTTGCGATGATGCACGAGGTAACGGGAAGACAAATAGCTGCTTCTGAGTCTTCCTTTATCACTGTCAGCGCAATTAATAGGCGACGGCCTTCGTTACCATGTTGCTGCTAAAGAGGGACCACTTCCCTCTCCACCCCCCTCCCCACCCTCACTCACCCCGGAGGGGAGATTAACGGGAGGAGAGAAGCACTCTGGGCCTTCCCAACTTCTGCAACGGTGGAGAGAAACGCTAACATGGGACGTTGCTGGGCGAGCAGAACAGGGGGCACGGGAAACCCAACTGAGGTCCATGCAATGGATACCCGGCTCCATTTCCCCTTGAAATTGCTGGAAGATTCAGGAGAGATTAAGAAGAAAGGGCTTCTTCATGCACCGCATGGTGAAGTCAGTGGTGGCCACCAATCTAAATGGCTTTAAACGAGGATTGGATGAATTCATGGAGGAGAAGGTTGCCAATGGCCACTAGCCACGGTGGTTCTGCTCTGCTTCTATAGTGGAGGCAGATGCTTGCAGTCTTCCAAAGGGCATCTGGTCAGCCATTGTGAGAACAGGATGCTGGACTAAGTGGGCTATTGGTCTGATCCAGCAGGTTCTTTTTGAGTTCTTAAATTTGGGGAGAAGTAGCATAGATGGCAAATGTGCCTGGGGAGTTGCCACCCGTGGTGGTGGGGATAAAAAGGGAGCAGATAGGAAATTTGAGGAGGAAGGATGGCAGAGATGGAGAGGACAAGCTTCTCAAGCTGGAGGGCCACATTCCTCCGTCACAACTTTCTGGGGGCCAAATGCAGGAGGGCGGAGCCACAAATGGGCAGAGTGACACGTATGTGCATTTTACATTTGTCCAATAAGTTGTTGTTGCGTGGCAAGGTCCCAAACCCTCCCGGGAAGTGGAATAAAGACACATGAAACAGTATTTAATGGGCGAAAAAGTCCACCACTTTATTGGTTACAGAATGTGAGTGGTATTGGCTTAGGCATTGGAAACCACATAACTGACTCTAGCCCGTCTGCAGGAGTCTTGGAAGGGTTAACCACCAATAGGGGGAGCCCTGCTGATGCACATCAGCTAGGAACTCCCCCAGGGTCACCGCTAGGGGTCGTGCCATGGCCTTAGCGCCCCCCTCCCCGTCTGGGGCTTCAGACAGAGACCACACCCCTAGGATTCTTTGACGGAATACACTTGAATTAGAAGGGGTAGGTGATGGCCAGTACCATCCGAATACACCAATGCCTAACCGCCAAAACTTACAAAGTTGTGACGATTTGCTACGAGGTAGGCGGAAAAAACAAATGGCCGGTTGCAATTTGCCAAGTAGAAAAAATTCCTGCCAGGCCCCTTGGACAACCAAGGTGACCAACCGAGGTCCATAGCAAGGACAAGAAATAAAGAGCCTAACCTAAGGGAGGGAGGGTGGGAGAACTGACCGAGCGGTGAGAAAAAGGGGCAAGGCCTCAGCCGTGGGCAGTTTAAATAGCCCGTGCCACGCTCCCGGACCATCCGGATTGGATGGCCTAGGGATGACGTGGCTGAGGCCCCTTCAATGGTACGGGGGCTATCCTGCCCTGTGCGCGTGGGGAGGGCTTGCTCCCAGCCCACAACGTCATTTCCCCGGGAATGGGAAATGGCTTTATTATTTGCATGTCTATTCCACCTTTTCTTCCAAGGAGTACAGGGTGGTGTACATTGTTTCGCTGCTCCTCATTAAAACCCCACAACAACCCTGTGAGGGAGGTTGTGGCTGACCCACGGTCACCCAGTGATCTTCATGGCTGAGTGGGGCTTTGAACCCTGCTCTCCGAAGTCATAGTCCAACACTCCAACCATTGCGTCGCACTAGCTAGTTGCTACAATGACTCACCCACACCTCTTCTGTCCTCCATTGAGGATAAGGAAGGTGTATTGCAGTGTTGCTGAGAGGCATGGCCTGTGAAGAGAGTTGTGAGACTGAGGAGTGGGTGTGGCCCAGGGAGTGTCTCAAGGGCCAGACAGAAAGAGCCAGAGGGCCATGTTTATGGAGCAGAAACTGGAAATGGTGGTATGATACTGTTGGGTAAGAGGCAGCCTTCTGATTCCTAAAGAGCCATACTTGAAAGGCTGGAAGCAAATAAAAGAGAATGGAGAGTTGGGAAGATGAGTTCTAAAGACTCATTGTCCTAGCTGAAGAGCCAAGCCTGACCTGTAAGCATTTTTAGTGAGGTAAGATCATGGAGAAGTACCAGGGTGTCTGGATGTTGGAGCCAAGTTGCATGCTAGAAAATCTAGCCACCAGAACCTTGAGATGCTCAGTATTATGTTCAGAAAAAGCCAAAAAGGTGAAGTCATTTTGTATGCTGAAGAGGCTAGCTCTCCATCCTGAAATCTCAAGGGGGAATCACCAGCATGCTCAGGGAGTGCCCATGGTTGTCTTTGGGTGTCATGATTTCTTGTGCCAGAGGTGATGAACCCCAGCCCCGGGGAGGGGTTCATCCTTCTGATATCTCTATCCAGGCTTGTTTTGTACCCCCACCTCAAGTATTCTTGCCTGGTTGGAATGTGTCCTTGAACTCAGGCACCTGACCTGCTGAACGCTGAAGAAACTAGCCCTCCATTTGGAAACCTCAAGGGGGGCTCATCAGTGTGCTCAGGGAGAGCCACATGGCATGCTGAAGAGGCTAGTCCACTATTGGACCTCAAGGGGGTTCAGGGCGAGTCCATGGGCTGTCTTGGGATGGAGCCATGCTGTATGTTGAAGAGGCTAGCCCACTCTGAAACCTCAAGAAACACTCATTAGTATGCTCAGAGAGGTACAGAAGTGAAATGTGAATTTCTCTGAGAAGTAATGATTTGGTCTTCAAGGCCTTCTTGGGAGCTTCCTAGAGACACCTGGGCCACTGTGGAAAGCAGAGGGCTTTATCCACTGCTAGACCCATTGAGATAAGCACAGCTAAGTTAGCCATGTTTATTAATGTATGTATTTTATTGCTGTGAACTGCCCTGTGATCTTTGGAAGAGGGACGCTATAAAAATTTCATGAATAATAACAACTTCCGTGTGTCTACTTTCAGTAGGACTAGCATCAGCTACAACCCAGAGAGTCGGACACCAAGGGTGACCCAGCAGGAGTCTTCTGATGTCCTTATTGCAACCTCAAATTGCCACAGTGTTGAGATGGTCCAAACATCTCCTCTGACCCTTCCATTGCTTTTTAGAAGTCAAACCCATTCCCTGAAGTCATGGTAAAACAAGGAGGTAGAGCAGGGAAGGAACTTAACACCTCCCGCCCCCCAAGAAAAGCTAATTTGAATCCAAATACCATTAGCATCCGCCACATCATTGGGAATGAATGAGTTGCGTAGGGGGCATGGTGGCTAATTTCGGCGATGACATTTGTCTTCATGAGCGAGGAGGGGAGGAATAATTTAGGGGGATGGAATTGTGCCACTCTTGAATTATTTCTCTCCCCCCTTACTCCTTCCCAATCTCTCTCTCCATCCGTGAGTGGAGCTAATTGTCATAAAAATAATTTGCATGTCAATGACACCTCTCAGCCAAAGACCCCAGGCGCCGTTCAAGATGGTCATGACTGAAGAAGACAGGGATGGGGCAGTCCATTTGTCTTTCTGGGGTCAGCAAGACACTTCCTTGGAGAGCCTCGGAGGGACCGGCCATTGCTTCAAAAATAAGGATCCTAGAGCACCTAAGATCTTTGGCACCGGACAAGAAAGGGCGTCTGAATGACATTGACATGTTTTTCCGTCCTGCAAGTCAATTCCCCCTACTCCCAATTTGGATTGGTTTTTATGTAGGCAAATATGAACTGTGTGCGGTAGGCTGAAAAGGCTAGCCTTCCGCCCTGCCTTTTCAGTTTGGAAAAAATGTACAAAATCTGTTCTGTAACAGCAACAACAACAACAACAACTTCCTTATTCTCATCCCATCTGAGTTGCCTTAGCCACCCTGGCCAGCTTCCAACAGAGATACAACATCCAACATGAAAAGCTTCCCTAAACAGGGATGCTTTCAGAAGACCCTCGATGCTAGACCCTGGTGTCTGGGCTGAGTGGAGACACTCCTTTGGGTATACAGGGCTGAAGCTGTTTAGGGCTTTAAAGGTCAGCGCCAACACTTTGAATTGTGCTCGGAAAATGTATTGCAAGCCAATGTGGATCTTTTAGGATCTGTATTATGTGGTCCCTGCAAAAAGATCAAACGCATCCATTCTTAAGGAAAATAGCCCTGGGTGCTCACTGGAAGGACAGATCGTGAAGCTGAGGCTCCAGTACTTTGGCCACCTCATGAGAAGAGAAGACTCCCTGGAAAAGACCCTGATGTTGGGAAAGATGGAGGGCACAAGGAGAAGGGGATGACAGAGGAAGAGATGGTTGGAGAGTGTTCTCGAAGCTACCAGCATGAGTTTGACCAAACTGCGGGAGGCAGTGGAAGACAGGAGTGCCTGGCGTGCTCTGGTCCATGGGGTCATGAAGAGTCGGACACAACTAAACGACTAAACAACAACAACTATATGTAGCTTATAGAAGCTGTGATATATGGCTGAGGGGATCAGGAAAAGAGAAGAGGAAAGCAAGCCTTCAACCACCGGTTATGTCTACATCTCATCCAGAAAGTTCACCCAGAGACATTTTGGCAATTTTTTAAAAAATCCACCGCGACAGAACTTTTTCCCCTGAAAAAGAGGACGTGTCCTGGAAAAAGAGGACACATGGCAACCCTACCTTGGGGCAGTCATGCCCCCCCCCAGCCTCACCTACCTTGCAGGGTTGTTGTGGAGCAGGGAGAACCATAGGTGCCACCTTTAGCTGGTTGGAGGAAAAGTTGGAGCATAAATTCAAGAAATAAATAAATAAATGTTTGGGTTAAAAGTGGGTTTGAGAAGTTCGAAGAAGCTCAGGCCGCAGAGTAATTGTGGGCCGTTAAAGCCCTGCAAGACCCCCCACTGTTTCTCCATTGCTGCTGCAGGCAGGTTTCCTCCAGGCCTGTGAAGAAAATCTCCTCCTTTTCCCCTGGAGGAAAGGGAGCGCAAGGAGGGGCCGGTGGTGCAAGGACCGCTGAGCTCTTCTTCCCGGTGACCACTATAGATTACCGCTCAGTGGAAGGACCTTAACCGTGCGACAAGGACAAGGCCATAAAGAGATGAAACACCTGCACCCCTCCTCTGCTTCCAGAGAGCAGACCCCAGGTGTGTGATACAGAGCAGTTAAATTTCATCATTACCCTTTCTTCGATGGTATTTTTTTATAGGATTTTTTTTTTTTTTTACTATGGGCTCTAAAGGTGCCAGATGCATCTCAAGACCTAAGCGGGCATCTCTTGTCAACCTTGACAGCTGTGGGGAATCTATATCATCTATCTATCATCTATCTATCTATCTATCTATCTATCTATCTATCTATCTATCATCTATCTATCTATCATCTATCTATCTATCATCTATCTATCATCTATCTATCTATCTATCTATCTATCTATCTATATCTATCTATCTATATCTATCTATCTATCTGTCTGTCTGTCTATCATCTATCTATCTATCTATCTATCTATCTATCATCTATCTATCTATCTATCTATCTATCTATCTATCTATCTATCTATCTATCTATCTATCTATCTATCTATCTATCTATCTATCTATCTATCTATCTATCTATCTATCTATCATCTATCTATCTATCTATCTATCTATCATCTATCTATCTATCTATCTATCATCTATCTATCTATCTATCTATCTATCTATCTATCTATCTATCATCTATAATCTATCTATCTGTGTTGTGTGTGTGTGTGTGTGTGTGTATATGAAGAAATGACAAAGTCCCAGCTTAATATTTTTGATAACTATGTTCTGTGTGGGCCATCCATCTCCACAGAAGAGATTTTTCCCCCCCGGTGGGGCCAGGAGAGGAAAACAGCTGAGCGTTTAAGGATGAAAAATTAATTGCCCTTTGAAAGCACAGTGGGCTGCCTATTAAACTGTGTCGCCAGCCATCGCTGCCTCTTGATGGAGGGGGGGCGGGGGGCGGGACACATGGGTATGGAGACTCCAGTGTATTTACTTGTTTTGGGTGCTTGGCGGTAACTGTTTTCGCTCCCGAGCAAAAGAGGTCAAAGGTGATGGCTTCTCCCCAAGGCGAGGGTGACAGCCCTTGAATTAAGACCCACAAACGGACATTTAAATGCATGGAAATTTAGAAGAGCTCTTTAGCTAAGATGAGAGGTGTCTTAAAAAAAGAAAAAGTCGTCTCTGGTAGACCAGTTGAATCTGAATTTTCTGCTCTTTCCTGTCCCTCCCAGCTGTGCCCACTTGGTGGCCCAGATCCATAACTTTGCCACCCTCCGTGGGCTCAAAGCGAGGGGTGGGTGTCCACCTGTCCATCACCTGATGTCATCAACAGAAACAAAACATTGTTGATCGTTTTCTTGAATGGTACACTACAATCCAGAGTAAAGGACCCCTGGACGGTCAAGTCCAGTCAAAGGCGACTATGGGGTTGCGG